TCTTTACTGAAAGAGTGGTTAAACATTGGAACAGGCTGCCCAGGGAAGTGGTTGAGCCACCATCCCTGGAAGCATTTAAAAGACGGGTAGATGAGGCGCTTAGGGACATGGTTTAGTGGGCATGGTGGTGTTGGGTCGATGGTTGGACTCGATGATCTTGGAGGTCTCTTCCAACCTTAATGATTCTATGATTCTATGAAATAAGTTGGGGTGACTGAAACTTACTGCTCATCCAAAATATGTGCAAATGTGTCTCTACTTGAATTGCATAGACTGTCGGTTGCCGTGACAGCTACTTTCTTCGTGCTTTTGGACGGTTCAGGAAAGCATTCTTTTGAGGCGGGAGATGAGTTCTTTCTGCCTAGTTGTTGGGAGACCCGGAGACATCCATCTAGAAAATACCGTGTTGTAGATTAGCGGGCTGTATGTCAGTGGCAAAAGCTGTATGAGTTAATGTCGCCGCTGTCACTAGGGCCTGCGTGTGAAAGGCATTTTTCTGAAGGTTTGGAGTGAATGTAATGCTACTGACGTGCTTCTGATGCTGGGAAAAAGGAGCGAGTGCTGTGCGTCTGCTGTCAGGAGAGCTGACTAGCTTAGGAACTGTTGTATTTTCTATGTATTCACTTGATTATAGCTGATTTTTTTTTTTTTTCTGTGCGTGTGTTCCCCTCCTCCCAAAGGGAACCAGTGAAAAAGACCGTCCCTGTGAAACCTGTGGAAAAAACCTAGCTGATTGTTTAGGACATTACGGGTACATTGACTTAGAACTGCCCTGTTTTCATGTTGGATACTTCAAAGCTGTGATAGGCATCTTACAGGTAAACACAATCATGATTTGACATCAGTTTCTAGTCTAGAGTAAGGAAATTATCAGAAAAGATGATGCTTGAAAGAGTAATTGAGAAGACCGAAATAAGGTTGTATAATTTGATCTTTATGCATCTTGTGTTTTGTAAAATATATGTATTTAAATACCAGTCTTAGTGATGTAAATACATCCATTTTATTTTATATAATCTCGGACTGAGTAATTTAATCCATTATTTTTCTGTAGTAGTTTGAATTAAATGTATGCAGTATAACTTGCCTTTTAGGACATCCCAGTAAATCAAAGCTCGGTTTGCTTTGTATCTGGCTTTTTAAGATCCTACAGAGCTTAGATAAAGATCTGCCTCATTGACTGTGGTTTTTTTTCCCATGTACTTTTTTTGTGCGTTACAGCATATGAATTGGTCTTTCAATCAAGGCCATTGTCTTTTTCATTCAAAAAACTGCCTTCTGTAGAAGAACTTAAGTTATAGTAGAAGACGTTGCAACTCTGCGTGTATCTGTTAAACAACTGTGTTTATATGCGTTTATGTTTAAGATGATCTGCAAAACCTGTTGCCGTATCATGCTGTCGGTGGAAGAAAAAAAACAATTTTTGGATTACCTGAAGCGACCTGGCCTTACGTATCTCCAGAAGAGAGGGCTAAAAAAGAAAGTGTCTGAAAAGTGCCGAAAGAAAAACACTTGTCCTTACTGTGGTGCCTTTAATGGTGAGTGTTGGCATTAGCAGTTAGTGATAGTTATCTACTGTGATGGGTATGACCTTGGTGGCTGTGATAGGCATCAGAATCTTGAATATCCTTGTTCGTTCCACGGCTAATGGGTATTCTCTCTGGCCTTTATTAAGAATCAGGTAATTGCGTTCTTAATGCCAAGCACGTGCTTGCTCACAGCTCATTTATGTGGATAGAGACATTGTCCTCGTTGCTTGTTCTGTTTCACGGGGTATCTCTTCATGGCCCCGACCAATATTGGATACTTGGATAATGGCAAAACCCCCCCGTTTAACATGTTTTTAAAAATACTGGGAGCTATTGTCAGCGGTCAGTACCGTAACTTAGAAGCATTTATAGGCTTCCATTTTGACTGAACTTGATTTTTCATCGTTATATTAAGTTATCTTTCTTAACGTTAGATGTGTTTGTCATCCTTTAAGAGGGTATGTTCTGCAGTTTGGCAGTATTTGAGCTGTGA